GCGGTCTTACTATTTTTCGTTATTTCAGAATTTCCTCGCGAGGACTTTCTGCGCAGAGCAGTCCGTAATTTTGAGCTTATCTACTAGAATGGAAGGCTGTTGTTAACTTTTTTACAAGCGCCCTAACCACCCGGCCATGCCGGGCCGCCTCATAAAATATAAGAAGTTATTACTCATGTTGATGTGTAATATATAGTTTAGAATATTATTGACTTAAAACCAACATAATAATTTCTATAATTATTGAAGTTAGATAAACATATTTTTGAACTTTCTTGTGACACTAGTTTAATGTTTATTGGACGGTACATATATATCGAGATAAAAAAATTATATATATTGTATCTACTACTATCTAAATGCACAAAGTCTTAACAATTACTGCCATCTACTGACAACGTTAAAAACTAAATTATATTATTGTTGTCACTTTTTATACTGTATTATCACAATGTACATTTAGGTATTTACCACTTTACGTTTTCTCTGAAGATATTCTCTATCTTTTCGTATTTCTATCAACAACTTCAGGTACATCTTCTGTTCAGAGAAATTAAGTATAAATTCTCTAATCCGACACTTTTTAAAGAAAAAAAATGTACAGTGATCTAGGATGACTTGTTCTGCTCCTTGGTTTGACAGGAATAATCTTGTCTTACAACAGAAGTCATACTTCTGTCAAGTGAACTATCGTAAGGGGAAAGTTTTTCTTGGTAGGGCGTCTGGTATGATAGTGGAACAAGCAGATCCAAAACATTTCTTCTGTCTGGTGATGCAGTTTGTTTGTTTTTTGTGTGGCCAGCAACAGAATCACTGATCCTGTTAGTGACAAGTGAATAGCCGCTAACCACTGTCAGTGGTGTCAACATTCACTGGTTGTTGTTTGGTCATACCTTCTGTGAATGATTGAAATCCCAGCGTTACATCATTGTTGAAGCAATTTCAATGAGTTCTAGCTCTGAAAGGACCTTATTTATGTCTGGTGTAATTGTAAGCCATTTTATGTGACTATTCAAGTTGTATTCATATAAACTTAATGTTGTAATAATCTGAAATTTACAGTTTGAAAACATCATTTTGTTGAGAGATCAACATACATCACTGGCCATCTCTGTTTTTTGTGCGTCTAGGTTACATTTATTCCTAACGTCGTCCCTCCTATTGCAATGTCCATAACTTTAAGAGGCTGCTCATTAGCTGTTTTTTTTTCTATGAAGTGATGCTACGTGCCATATTTGGCCAGGATATACTTCTTAGAAGAGGATACTTCTCTCCATCTCTGCACGTCGGCTACAGACAATGCCGAGTTGAAATTCTACTAACAAATTATAACTTTCTTACACCTTGTAAGCAATTTTCTCTATGGGCAGTTGCAGTATACAATGTTTTCCTTCCTCCTCTCTTCGTTTTTATACTGTCAAAAGCTATTAGAAAAATTCAGAGACATCACATATTGTCGACCCACTATCTTAGTCCAAACTCTTTAGGATGAAACTTTGCTCTATGCTGGTTTCTTTTATCTTCCCCTTCCTCAGTAATTGTTATTAAAACAGTTATATTTTCCACGCCTAGTCTTCTTTCCTAACTGATGTATAAACGATTTAAAATTTGTTTGTTTGTAGTTAACCACCCAGATTTTAGCGTAATAAGCCATCATACTTACGGCTGTATCACTGAGGGTTGATTTAAGATAACAGAAAACTATATTATATATTACTATAAATGTTAAAATGCTTAAAAACGTATTCTCGATAACTCATATCATACTTGAAATAGGTGAATATGATTACAGGCTTAGTACATGTGCTTCGTGGTACTTAAGTATATCGCTATCCAACAGATAAGATTAAACTATCTGCAAAAAAGCAGGTTCAGAGCTATTAAATGAATCATAAATAAATCACAAACAGTGAAAGAAAAACAAACAACGACGAGTTGAAAAATAAACAAAATATTTATTCATGTTAATAGTATTGTTTTCATTACCAACTAGTTTCTTAATTGCTTGTACTCAAACTAACTGCTGGGGTTAGAGAGGCTTTTTTGAAACTTCCATGCAAGACTAGGGCAGAAGGAATTATATTATACCACACTTTCAAGTTACACAAAAGGCCTAAGTGCGGTATCCTATAATCCATAGATTACTTACGTCACCAACTATTTAAAATAACATATTCAAAGGAAAGGATACCCACCTCATATCAATTTGTAAAAGTATCTGCGTCATCATTTGAGATGAGCTTGCATAGCCCCAGGTAGTGGGCATGGACGCAGGTTCTTAGTAGATACAAGATTCTATGAAATAGCTGTTGTCGAAGGTAACCATAACCTATGTAAAAGGGTTAGCACATGTTTGTGACCTTTCAAAATCCAGTTAATAAGAGTGTCTAAATTACATGCAGAACACCTGTACGAAAATGTATAAAAGTATCTGATTATACCTTAGTACAGATAATTATGGAATGGTGAGGTTTACAATTATCTCAACAGTGACATATTCAAGAGAAAAAAGTACTATTAGTGCGTAGGTATAACTATTAGAATAATACAAATATATAGCGTGTTCCACAAATTTCTAATATGTAAGGAATATATATGTATATAAAACGAAAATAAATAAGAAACAATACGAATTATAGGTGTACGCACATGAATATACCATGAATGTATTTATGGTCATCTGCTCTGAATATGAAATTAAGAAAAACTGAAGATACTTGGATTTATCACTACTATTAATTAAGGACATTTGAAAAACTTAAAATTGAAGAAAATAAAAATATTTACTTGTGATATGAGCCGCAGGCTGGACGTCATCTCAATCGTGTTTGCTGCTGTCATCTATTGGTAGGTAAGTGAAATAATTTGGTCAGCACTAAAAGCTTTTATAAAATGATGTAAATATAGAAAAATTATCTTGAAAAGTAATATTTAAATAAAAATTTGTTAAAGAAGAATATGCGTGGTCATGGTAAGTATCAAAACAAGCCTGCACAATTTATAAATTTGTACTTGTTCATTAACTGATAAAGATATAATATGCAAACTGCTAGAGTTAACCTGGCAAACAAAACCTGAACATTTAAACATCAGAGTTGTCGGATTTAAATAACGTCTTACGACCCTAGGTTTAACGATGATGTCCAATAAATTTTAATGCATATTTCATTTCGTGGATAGCCAACTTCTTGATATTACTACATAATTATTATGTGGTAATGACCTACAGTCTATAACGGCCGATCCTCTTCTTCTGGACTTTCCTGCTGTCCGGCTACCTCGCTGTTATTGAGACCAAGGTGCCAAATTTGTTACAGTCTTTAGCATTTACTAAGGTCACAAAAGGGGGCAAGCTGTGCCCCCTATCCCCCCCAAAAATAATTTTACGTATACGGACTGGTTATTTTGGTGAGTGTACTACTGTTTATTTCTATGCATATGATGTATGTGCGGGTATTGATATCGATTATATGTGTCTCCCAAAGTGATCAAATTTAAATCTGCGCACCACCTTATTCTCTACAATATATATTTGAACTCAGAGTTCTCAGCTGTTTCTTCGCCCACTCTGTGTTAAAACGGATCTTTCGTTACGAACATCATAACTTTATCAATATGCTCCGTACGTGTTTCCCTGCTACGTAATATATATATATACAATAAGTTTTAATATTGTTATATATATATTAATCAACTTATTCCTTCTTTGATTTCTAGTCCTGAGCTACGTCATATTTTAAATAGTGAATAAACCTAATGCGACTTGACATTACTATTTAATTTTCACTTAAAACATTGACATTACATATGTGGTTATAATTTTGTCTATAAAACTTATATACTTATTAAATGCGAAATAAGAAATGCTTTCTTTTCGTGCTAGGCGCTAATATACTATTCTCGAAAATTATTTTTCGAATATCACGTGCTGCACGTGGTGCTCATGATGTGCCTTAACAAACTATAATACAAATCATGTAGAAATGAGTGAGTGAAAAAGGGCAGCTGTTGTCGGAGCAACGCAATAATGATATTTACAACTACGGTCCTTCTTTTGATCATCCGAGATGCGCAGTCGATACTGAATAGCCCTCTACCATGTATAATATGTCTAGAATGTAACAACTCACGTGACTCGCTCACGCTAAGTAGTCGGAAGAAGAAGAGAGGGCTCTGGTGTTGCTACGCCTCTATCACGCGGTTTTATGAATTAGATTCGTGTCGTAAGGTCGATCATCCCTGCTGTGACTGTGAGATATCAATAAGAATACAATTTTCTGAAAAACAAGGTGAGATTCACGTAATCTAAAAGAGGGTTAAGACTTAAAACAGCAGACAACTAAACATGCTTTTTATATACTTATAACAAAGTTCATTGATTTAAAATACATCAGTACTTTGTTTTATACGCAAAGAATGATTAGATATCGAATAATGACGTTTCATATTTTGGCTTTTATAATTTAAATTTAGTCTGATTTCAAAAATTCGATTTCACAACAAAGTAATTGACTGGAAATATAAGTAAACGCCATATGTATTAGTTTATTATCATGATTATGATGCCATTAGTGTTGAGCATATCGATATATTTTCAAATATCGAAATATATCGATATTTGCCAAAATCTTGGGAAAAGCTCTTACTGAGAAAATTAGATTAAAAAAATTAAAAGATGACAAAATATATAATCCTTTACAAAGTTCAACCGTTTCTTATCCGTTTTTTGTCCATAATTGTCCATATTTATCCAAGTTTAACCATATGATTGATTATCGTCCCTACAGAATGAATAAAAAAAGTTTCAAAATGTTTTCACTCATTCATAGCTTTTCATAGACACTTTTCAATAGACACTTTTCCTCCCTGCTTTTGTGATTTTTCATTGAAAGGCGGGAAAAAAAGAAGAAAAATAATTGTCTCGCAGTGCTGCTTGGGAGTTCTCTAAAAAAAGATGAAGAAGATCCCCTCTATGCTAAATGCACGTTATGTGGCTCGAGGCTTAAACACTAACAATACAACAAACTTGTTTACACACTTGAAATATAACTTAACAGTACACACTTCGTTCGGCGTTCGACGACGTCACCCCCACTCAATTTTCGATATATCGACATGTTTTCTAAAAGATAGCGATATAAATATCACTCATCACTAGTTGTCATGAGTGATTTTTCTTCTCAAAATGAAGATTGAGAACATTTTCATGTACTTTTCGTTTGCGCCTCCTCAGTGGCTTGACAATTTTATCAACACATTTAAGAACTAAGTTGTAAGTTTTCTTAGGTTTTACAGCATGACTTACATACTACATGAGTCAATACAAACACAAGTGTGACCTCAATTTTCTGAGGTAGTATTTCTGTTCACAAGATAAAAAGTTCGTAAATAATTTAGCTTGGCATTATCCAAAACGAAGAAGTACTCTGTCAATTCTATGTTTGTAGTGTTTTATCTATACAACTGAAAAGAACGTAAACATAATAATGTATTTTACACATGCACACCTTTTGCTTTACTTCATCAACGACAATTTCAAAAACTTTATTAATCCTAACTGAAAATGTATAAAAATAAGTGCAATGTAACAGCTATTCATGAAAATTAACGATATATATATATATAGACCACTAGTATATCTGTTGTAGCTCAGCCGGCCTGATGAGGCCTGGTGTTTATAGAAAAACCTCTTCAGCACTGGGTATAGCAGACGTACTTTGGTTGACGGGTATAACGTATTGTTACATCTCTGTTCGTTTGTTAATTTCCCGTAGAAATTCTTCCCGAGAAACTTCAGCGATACGAGTCCTTTCTTAAATAAAACTAGTTTATTCTTTCTCAATACAACTTTGCAATACACAGAATTTCCACGGTCCTTTTAACTTAAACACACGCTATAAATCACAACGATTCATGCACTTTACTTAAGACTTGACTCGATTATCTGTCTCTATATCTCCCCATCTGCAATTATCTATGCCGTCACTTCTCTCTCTGCTTTCTTTGCTGGGCTTATGTATACAAAAATAGAGGGCATCTGGCAAACACTCGAGCCTTCATGATCCTTCTACATACTCATCACGTGTTACCTGCGTCACGTGACTTCTGCTGTCGTAACACTGCCCCTTCCTTAGTGTTGTTCGTCCCGAACAATAGCCACTTACATTAATCCA